ACCCTATCTAGAGTGATTTGCCTTTCTCAAACAAGGACTTAATCCACTATTTAATCAACTGATTACAATAGTAAGCACTAAGAACAACTGTTCAAAGTCTTCTCAAGAACTTCTGATCCCAACTGGATCTTCTTAAGGAACTATTACAATAAAATGTAAGATTAATACAAGTGTATGAATGCTTCTAACAAGCTTTATCACAACAGTGATTTTTCACTTAATGTTAAGAACAAAAGAATAAACTCAGCAATAAGAATATTTTATGAGAGCTTGTAAGAGTTTCTTTCAGAGATTCGTTTGTTGTTCAAGATCACTTTGAAGAAGATGAGGAAGACTTGCTTTTATATGCACAGTAGTCCACAAAGTCTTGACGTTGGAGGCTGTGTACTGAAAAGGCCTGAACCTTTTTGTCTTTACATCACATGACCTTTCCTGGAAGTAGAATGCACAGAGAAATGCTTTTGGTCTGTGTTCTAGTGTCAAGCATGAAAAAGGAAAGAGTCGTTGAGCCAAATCAAAGGATATTACTTTGAATTCTTCTTCAACAAGTATTTATTTTCAGCAGGGTAACCATCAGATTTCGCATGATCAGAGTCTTGAATACCCATCAGATTTTGCATGATCAGAGTCTTGGATACCCATCAGATTTTGCTGAATCAGAGTAATGCAGCAAGTGTGCTTTAGCGTGTAGTTCTATCAGAGCTGAGTTTTATGAATCAGATCCTCAATACATACAACGTGTAGTACTCTCAGAGTCTTCTGAAAAACTGTGCTTCTTAACTCTCATACAAAGTTCTTCAATGCTTCAGAGTTTTCAGATCTTATTAGAGTCTTCTGCTTCAGATCCTTCTGCAGCTTCTGCTTTAGATTCTTCTGTAGCTTCTGCTTCAGATTCTTCTGCAGACAGCGCTCAGATTCTTCTATAAGATGATTCTGACTCTTCAGAGCCTTTCATAGTTCTATGTTCAGATTAATTTGCTCTTAGATGTATATATACTTTAATTATCTGCAGCAAATATTCATGAACCAATTTTAGAGTATATAATTCTTTAATACAAAATTTCATAAGAGTTATCATCAAAATATAGAGATATTACTAAGAAACAATCTGTGTTCTTACACCAGTCTCGACACAAATCCCCCTTTTTGTTTTCCAGTCAATTTTTCAAAGTAGCATGGGCCGACTCAACTCTATTAGAAGTTGTATTTCCAAGGTGTCTAACATTATCAGTCTATGCACAAACTATCTTCTACTTCACTCGATCAAGAATGATGCTTTTAACATATTTCAACAAAGCAGGATACTTTTAACACACTTTCCGGAAGTGAATAACAAAATCGACATATAATTATTTTATGGAAGAATTTATTATACGATTCCATGCATCCATTATTTTTTCCACAATCACACCCGCCTTCACCAATTTTCCACATTCGGACTCTATTAGTTTCATCCCTACCGCAGGTTTTATCCAACTTCTAACATTCTTTGTTAATTGGTACTTACAAATTAATACACAAGAAGAAGGAAATACCTTAGCAACCAAGTTCATCAATGCGGTATCGTGGTCGATAACGATTGTGTTAGGCATCTCAGCTTGATCCTTCAAAAGTGACTGACACACCTCTAATGCCCAAGTAAAATTGTTCTCTTTTTCACACTCAAGAAATGTAAAACCAACAGAATATGTCTTCTCAATTGAGGTAACACCAACCATCTCAAATAACGGAAGTCTATACTTGTTGGTCTTGTAGTTTGAATCAAGTATGAGCACCGTCAGAAATATGTTGAATAACTTTATCGAGTCAAGATGAGTCCAAAAAATATCTCTATTCGTAACTCCATTGTTGCATGTTCTGTACTGGGTCACGTAACTGTTATTGTCCAATAGTTTCAAGAGTTATTGCCTCTCAGTTCTATTCCCCTTAATCACCTTGTTAGGGAGGTACTAAATGTTATACACTTGCTTGATATTTACTATAATGTCGGGTTGCTTCTGTTTCAATGTTGCAAGTATATTTTTCGGTTGAACAAGATACAAGGTCATGTCACTAATACATTCCTTCTCTTCCGGCTTGAGCCGACATACACTAAGATGACCAGTTAATTTTAAACACAAATCACGGTTATGTAAACCGCATATCACATTAAATATCTAATTTTTGTTTGCCAACATGTAACCACGAACTTTAAACGGACACTCACATTTTCTACTACCTGTGTCGTATCTTTTAAGTTTTTAGAGAGGAGATCAATATCTCCCGCTTCTTTCGCACAACACTGTTACAAAGGCGCATCTTCTATCAGAGCCATTACCAGACCTTCTGATTACCATACTAAATCCAAGTCTAGATGCCTCCATGCAAATCTATTCAAGCATTCTATCACGACTTTCAAACTCTTGCTTGTTATTAAAGTCGTTACCAGCATCTACCGCCTTCACAACAACCCCTTGAACATTTGGAGAAACCAATGGTTTTGGGAAAACGTCGGGGTGCACCATATCTATTGAAAATGATTAAAAAATAACACATCATTAATTAATCTACTACTGTAAAAGGGCTGGAAAATAAACACATAAACGTTTTGGAAATGTATCTCCGAAAAAGTTCAAACTCAAACACGTTTCGGTGATACATCTCTGGACACTGCATAAATTTTCTCAGAAAAACATGATGATTAATGCGAGCAATGTAGATGATAAACAACAATATTTACCTGAAGTTCAATCTTCTTTTGCTCCCTATGATATGTTGAACCAAAAGGATGGAGATTTAGAGCAGAAAAATAAGGGTTTTTGTTGAAAATGGAGTATGACAACAATAAATGACTGATCATGCAGCTGCAAGCTATATCAAATACTTCCGGAGATGCATCTTCGGAAATACCTGACTTACAAATGTGATAGAAACCATTCTGGAGAAATATCTTTGGAATAAAAATAGGTCAGATGTATAGGGCGTATCTCAGAATTACCTTGGTTGAGTATATAAAGGGTGTGTCTGGAGATATATCTTTAAAACTGGGAGACATAATTGAAAATCCAAACAATGCGTTAGAAATTTATAAGGTGTAATAAGAAATTCTCTCTCTCTCTCTCTCTCTCTCTCTCTCTCTCTCTCTCTCTCTCTCTCTCTCTCTCTCTCTCTCTCTCTCTCTCTCTCTCTCTCTCTCTCTCTCTCTCTCTCTCTCTCTCTCTCTCTCTCTCTCTCTCTCTCTCTCTCTCTCTCTCTCTATATATATATATATATATATATATATATATATATATATATATATATATATATATATATATATGTTCAAATCCTTTAGAAATATAAAATAACGAGACTTATTAAATTTTTTTTATAAATATTTTATTAAATAAAAAATTGAATGTAAAAAAAATATAAAATATAAAATATAATAAAAAAGAGTTTAAAAGTAGTCTGCATTAAAAATAATATTATATATATAATTAATCAAAATTTTTATATTTATCGTATCACAATAATATTTTTAAAATTAATTTAAAGAAATACAAATCTCTAGTTAATTTATAGTATAAGAATATTTTACCGTGAATATTTTTTTTCTAAAAAAAATTGAATTGGAACCAAAAGAGATATTCTTTATTGTTTTTTTGAAAAGGCCAAACCAACAACCAAAACCGAAACCCAATTAATGGAACCATGTTTCTAATGATCCGACCCGTTTTTCCTTCTCCTTTCAACAACATCAGCCCTATCGAAATCGGGTCCAACCCAGATTCCACCACACCATAATCGGGTCATCTCTGTCTCCCTCTCTCCACCTCTCAAAACCCTATCGTTTTCTTCCGGATCATCCGATCGGACCCAACCACCTTCCTTCGTTTTCCCTCTCTCCTAGTAAGACTCTCTCTCTTTCTTCAATTCAACTTTCCCTTTTGCAATTGCATCATTTGGTTGTTAAATTTACGACAACTACTGAAACAGTATTTTAAATTGCAACAGTCGTATAATAACATGTGTTACAAATTTTTATTTTTGTTTTGGTTATTCTGTTATCTTGTTTCTCGTAGATTGTAACTTTTTAAATGAACCTTTTAAGTTCTTCGTTTTAAATTGCAGGAATACCCAGTTTTTTGTAATGTCTATGTGCCATAATTGAGGAATATTGTGTTATTTTTGTTCAATTATTACTTGTAATTTTTTTGTCTATTGAAATATTTGTAAGATTTTAAATTGAGGTTACACTGGTGATTTTGTCCACAATTTCGGCTTTGTGGAATTGCGGCGTCCATGGCAATTAACAACATGGGTGTTACATTACAGTTGCATCATTTGTTCTTGATTTGTAGTTTGCTTAGGCTAAGGCCATGTCTTTTTCATGGTGTGGATTGTTCGTTCTTTTATTTTGATGGGTTTAGTTAACAGGGTTTTCCTAAGGATACCCTGTTTTTGCTTCTGAGTTGATTCTGTGGGTCTAGGCTTCTTTAAAGTGTAGTTAGTTTGAATCAAGATATGTCTAGATTTTGATTTAAAACTTTTGGTTCTTGCCATGTAAGGGCTATACTATCAATTTTTTTTGAAAACTTGCTATCTGGCCATCAGACCGACTTATCCAAAGGGACCAATGCTACCCTCCACTAGTGGGAGCCCATTTATGCTATCTTTAATTAAATCTTATCACTTTTGATTTGTGTTTTAAATTTCTGCCCACCAATGTCAATGTGAAGTTTTCACAAGTCTCTTCAATTGTAATTGTAGACGCATTAGTCATATTTCCCCCTATTTTCTATGATTTCAAAGTTAATGGAACTGTATCTGGAATTTAAAATCTTTCTTTTGAGTGATGTTATATAACTGGGTCAGCTTTTTAGTCTCTTATAATTTTTACTGGATTCCATATACCCTTTTGCTTAATCCTTTGCTACCGGGTTTTACTTTCAACTTGAGTTATTTCTTGTATAATTTTTTCTGTTTTGACACTTTGTTTTGTATGACATGCAGATTAGTTGTTCTTTCAAGCCTATCTGATGGAAATATCCAATGATTCGGGCACTAAGAAACCAAAAAGGTTGACATCTGTTGTCTGGAATCACTTTGAAAGGATTAGAAAGGCTGATATATGTTATGCTGTTTGCCTACATTGTAACAAGAGACTTAGTGGATCAAGTAACAGTGGAACAACTCATCTAAGAAATCACTTGATGCGGTGTCTGAAAAGATCAAACTTTGACGTTTCCCAACTGCTTACAGTGAAGAGAAGGAAAAAAGATAATACTGTCAGCCTAGCAAACATTAGTTTTGATGAAGGTCAGAGGAAAGAAGAATATACAAAGCCAGCATTCGTCAAGTTTGAACAGGAACATAAGAAAGATGAAATCATTAACTTTGTAAGTAGTAAATTTGACCAGGATAGGAGTCAACATGATCTCGCTCGTATGATCATCTTACATGGATACCCGTTGACTTTGATTGAACAAGTAGGATTCAAAGTCTTTGTGAAAAACCTCCAGCCTCTCTTTGAGTTCTTGCCAAATAGCAACGTAGTGATTTCTTGCATAGAAATCTACAGGAGGGAGAAAGAGAAAGTGAATGAGATGATAAACAAATTATGTGGCAGGATCAATCTCTCCATCGAAATGTGGTCTTCGGCAGAAAATACCTCATTTTTGTGTCTATCTGCGCATTATATTGATGAGAAATGGACATTGCAAAAGAAAATTTTGAACTTTCTTACACTTGACTCTTCTTACACCGAAGACTTGCTTCCTGAAGTGATTATCAGATGCCTTGATGAATGGGATATTGACTGCAAGCTATTTGCGTTGACTCTTGATGATTGTTCTGTTGACGATGATATCACTCTCCGAATCAAAGAGCGTGTTTCCGAGAAAAGGCCTTTCTTAAGTACTCGACAAATACTCGATGTACGCTCTGCAGCACATCTCATAATTTCCATCGTTCAAGATGCCATGGATGCATTGCATGAGTTGATCCAAAAGATTCGAGAGAGCATCAGATACGTTAAAAGTTCACAAGAAGTTCAAGAAAAATTTAATGAAATTTCTCAACGTGCTGGGATCAACTCTTTAAACGCCTTATTTCTTGATAATCCACTACAATGGAATTCTACATATATCATGCTCGAAACTGCACTAGAATACAGGGGTGCTTTTTCACTCCTCCAAGAACATGATCCCTCCTACTCATCAACTCTATCTGATGAAGAGTGGGAATGGGCTAATTCTGTTGCTGGGTATTTAAAACTCCTTGTTGAAATTATGAATATCTTCTCAAGCAACAGATTTCCTACAGCTAACATATTCTTCCCTGAGATCTGTGACATTCATATTCAATTAATTGACTGGAGCAGAAGTTCTGACAATTTTCTTAGTACCATGGCTTTGAAGATGAAAGCCAAATTTGATAAGTACTGGAGCAAGTGCAGTTTGGCTTTAGCTTTAGCTGCAGTCCTAGATCCCCGGTTTAAAATGAAGTTGGTTGAGTACTACTACTCCTTGATATATGGAAGCACTGCTTTGGATCGTATCAAGGAAGTTTCTGACGGTATCAAAGAACTTTTTAATGCATATTCTATCTGCTCGACAATGGTTGATCAAGGGTCAGCCTTGCCTGGAAGTAGCTTACCAAGCACCAGTAGTGGTGCCAGGGACAGACTAAAAGGCTTTGACAGATTCCTTCACGAGACATCACAGAGTCAGTCAATGACATCAGACTTGGACAAGTATTTAGAGGAACCCATATTTCCTCGTAATTCTGAGTTTAACATATTGAACTGGTGGAAAGTCCACATGCCCAGATACCCGATTTTGTCTATGATGGCACGAGATGTTCTTGGAACTCCAATGTCAACCTTGGCACCTGAATTGGCATTTAGCACAGGGGGCAGAGTGCTCGATTCTTCTCGCAGTTTGCTGAACCCGGATATACGAGAGGCTCTAGTATGCGCACAAGATTGGATTCGAAATGAATCAGGAGGTATGTTCTTCATCCTTAGAACAATCCTAAATTCCTAATTCATAGCTTATGCTTATGCATTTGTGCTGTATCTGACATCTGATCAGATTTTAATCCAACCCCAATTCATTCTGCTCCACCTCTTCTCCTTGAATCAACTTAATGGTTCCGAGGTATTCTTCTGTGAAACTTGTATCATATGTTTTAATCCCTCCACTTTCCGTTGTCAAACATTAATCTTTCTACTTATTTATGGTCAATGTCAGGAAGTAGCAAAGAAGCTATTGAAGAATTGTTAACTGTACTGTTGTTCTCCTATGTCATTTCTTGCTTGGAACTGATATACTATGTAAGAAGCAATGTATATAATTAGAATAAGGTAGTTTTTTTTTGTTGGAGTTACATTCAGATGAATCCCATTTTGTATAGAGGGTTGCATACCTCCTTTGTTATCAAAGTCTCCCCTTGAATGCTTCACTGTTCCTACAATATTGCTGCTTAAGTGAATGATCTTAATGAATGAAGATCTTCAACAATTGCATTATTTGGCTCAAGCAAATTTAGGTGTAGATTATTGTTTAAAAATTAAAGGCAAAACTCCGGTCTCCTTTAAGATATTTTAAAATATCAAGTTCGTCTCTTAAGTATTTTTTTTTGTAACGTTTTCGTCCTTTTTAAAAAATCACCGTTACTATAAATTACAAACTCATATACTAATTGAACTGGTTTTTCGCGCTGATCATGAATATGTAATTAGTTTTGCGTTTGATTGTATATTTTGGTTGGATCGTTGATTTTTCACTATGTATTTCATCAATTTTTATCTGATTCTCATGAACCATAACTTGTTTGATAAATTTGATAAATGGTATATGAGTTTGCAATTTAGTGTAACAGAGATTTTTAAAAAGGGACTAAAGCGTTAAAAAAAATTTAAGGGATTAAATTTTAAAATAATTTAAAGGACTAAAACAATAATTTTGCCAAAATTAAATCAATCACGACTTTTAGCTTGATTAATATCATCACTTGTGTTTAATAACACTAAAAACAATACTAGATAAAAATAGTTTTGAGTAAATTTCACCAAATAAAAACTTGGTCATTCATAAACAACACAAATTAAAACAAAATATTCAAAAAACATATTAAAATGTAAGCAAAATATTCAGAACATATTAAATTGTAAATAAAATATTCATAAAAGTCATAAGAACTAAAATTCAAAAGACATAAAATTTCATATATCTAAAAGTTTTAAGATCTAATTGATTAAAAAAATCTCATTAGCTAAAAATTGACATTCTTATTCAACTTTTCTAACTAAATATAAAAATTAAATAAGTTCCAACTAAATATAAGAAATAAATAAATTTAATTCTTGATTCTTTAGTTATAAATAAAAATAATAATATTATGTAGAATTGATACTCAATATACTTTGGACTTTTTACTCTTTATTATTAATATATATTACTATTTTTTTAAAAATAATTTAGTAAATTTGATGTTTAAATCATCCATCACTAATATTTAATTACTCAATAAGGACAATCATGGAATTAAAAAAATAATTAAGGTTAAATTAGGGAATATAATAAAATTATAAATAATAGATCTTCCCTCCCCTCCAAATCCCCCAATTTGAGGGGAGCAAAATGAGTCTAGGAGGGATTTTGCTCCCCTCCCCTCCCCTTATAAAAAATGAATCAAACACAAATATTTATAAATATCCCTTCCCCTCCATCTACCTCCAACCAAACAGACCCTTAACTTTCAACCCCACGCAGTGGTTATAATATTGAAGTTATTATCTTATGTACTTACAATTTTCTTTTGGAATTTTATATTGTGTTTATTGAAAATTTTTGAAAAAATAACGGAATTTTTTGAAATATTCGGTAAAAATAAAATATTTTTGGAAAATTTTGAAGAAATACAGAATTTTCAAAAAAAATTCAAAACTATAATATTTTAAAAAAATTTTGGTTGTGTTAAATTTTTTTAATTGAATATGAACAGTTGAAATTTAAAAAAATCTAGAAAAATATGGCAATATTGGATTTTTTGAAAATTTTGGTAAGTTAATTACTTTCTTTAAATCGATAAAAAATTTATGTCGGAAATTTAAAAATAAACTATTGAAAATTTGAAATTTTGCAGTTTTTACACAAAATTATCTATGAGCATGTTTGAGAATTATGAAAATATGTGGGATATTATCTATGAGCAGTTTGAGAATTATGAGAATATGTGGGATATAAGGTTTAATTGACGGGTGGTAGGTTAATTGCTCAAGTCATTCACTTTTATAGGCCCAACGGCCCAATGTTACCCATCCCACATTTTCCAAGATGTTCGTATGGGGTGAGAAAAGTTGGACCCTTTTTATAAGATCTCCTATTTTTCTATTGTTCTGTTTCACTTAAAAATGAATTAGTCATTAAAAGCATCACCTCAGTATTCACCTTCGGCAGTTACAAAACAAATACCTTAAGAAAAAGTAAAATTCAAATTACAAGAAAATATGTTACATCAAGATTAAAATATTTATTCCCTTTTGTGCTTGGACATCTTTATTCCCCAAAAAAAAATTAAAATATGTAAAGAAAACTCTATAAGTTAATACTTGTATTACCCTAGATGTAGTTGAGAATAAAAGAGAGGATGAGAATATGGTTTTTAAATGATAACCATTGGTGTATTACTTTTTGTTGGTGCATACCGTGTGTATGTTGAGTCAACAATAATAATAAAAATGTATAGCTTTTGAAAAAGAATAAAAAGATGGAACAAATTCCCTCTAAGTCATTGGGCAAAGAGAGATAGATAGAGAGAGCCAAAAGAATCATGTTCGTGAGGATATATAGCATAACATCCAAGTGTTTTCTTCCATTTATTGTTCTCTCTTTGTTAATGTTTTCATTTCCCTCTCACACACACACATTCTAAGGCCAAAAAGCATCTTCATTCTTCACCTTTGTATCTTCCAGGTTAGTTTTACCCCTTCCTCTATCTCTTTTTCTGTTGTGTTTTCCACGCTTTTATTAAATTAAATATGATTTTCTTAGACCATAGATATGGAAAGTGTTTGTTGCACTATTGTTTTCTTTGCTTTCAGATTTTGGTTGTGATCTTGTTTTGTTTTCACATGCTTTGATTTTGACTCAGCTAATTCATTTTGTTTTCACATGTTTGGCTGTTGAAAATTTTAAGACATGTATATCAAGAAGTCAATACTATATTAAGATAAAATAATTAAAAAGAATAAACCATGTGTATATAATGTGTGGAAAATATTTTTGTCAGCATTTAGTATATGTTTTATTTTAATAATTGGATTGGATACTAACTATTTGTTGACATCTAGTTAGACATGGTTTAGTGACAAAAGCCAAAAGAGAAATGATGTCTGAATTTTTTTTTGCCTGATTTGTGTCTCTCATTCAACATTTGACAACAACTTTCCAAGGATTTGAAGTGTTCATAATATTTAACTAAGAGTCTTATCTTATGTTATGAAGAAACATGTTAATTGTGTGTAATTATGTTTTTTAGTTAACAATAAATATTGTAATAAACAAAACTATATAAACTTGTCAATTTAATTTTCTTGCTAAATGGTGAATTAAAAATATTATTTAATTTATTATTTTTATAATTTATTTATTTTAATTTTGACGATAGAATTTTGTCTTTATAAGAAATATATTCGATGATTATTATTGGTGGACTCAATAATCTTATATACATAAGTTTATAAGATAAAGAATGAAAAATAAATTTTACTAATCATGTCTCATGAAAGCTCATAATTCCATGATCATTGATTAGTTCAATTTAGTAAATATACATAAAGATTAATAATATTTACATCAAAAAAAATGAATAGTAATATAAATATATTTTATCACATTATATCAAACTCTTGCACAAATGAAATAATTTTAATTACAATTTGGCAATATAAAAGAAATGTGAAAGACGCGATCCTAGCCGTGAGCTAATTTTTTTTTGACGAAGTGAATGCCCATCTCATTTTGTTTGACATGTTGATGTTAAACTGAATTATTAGATAGATATATTTTATTGATATTATCACAATATACCTTTGTAGCACTGACACCTTTGAAAAATGTGTGTCAGTATCAGTGTTGGTGTTACAAATTGACACCAACACTTGTGATTACATTTAATTAATTTTTTAAATTATTATCGGTGTGGACATGTCAGTGTTGGTGTCATATTTTAGTGTTTGTGCTTCATAACAATATACTTGGTAACTTCATGAATAAGACAATACAACTTTAGAAACATATTATGTACCCAACAATATTCAAACACCATGTTTGCAACACCACGGTATTCAACCTCAACACTAAAGCGAGATAATATGAGTTAATGTTTGAAGGACAATAGAGTAACTTGTCATCAAGAAACACGTAGTACTCAAAAGTGGACCTCCTAGTATCTGGACAATCTCCACAATCTGCATTTGTGTAAGAGATAAAAGATATAGTGGTTAATTGATAAAAGTGTACTCCACGTTGACTAGTGTCTTTAATGTAGCACAAGATGCACCTAATAGCATGAGTGTGAACATTCATCAAATTAGGCCTAAATAAACAATATTGTTGTATCACATAAGATACGCATGACCTTGTGAATCTGAGATATTGTAAAGAGCTTGTAAGACTGCAATAAAGAAATGGATCCTCATATTGAGTGTTGATTTTGGTGTTAAGCTTCAGTTTTGTATCAACTAGGGTAAAACATGGCTTACATGAGGGCATATCAACACATTCAAGAGCTTTTTCTGCATATTTTTCTGATATAAGAATAGACCACCAACATGTCAAGTGACAACAATGCTCAAAAAATAATTAAGTGGTCCCAAGTCTTTCATTGTATATTCAGAGCTGAGATATGATAAATTTGCAAAGATTATCAGTAGAAGTGGTGAGAATGATGTTGTTGGCATCTAGAAGAAGATATTTCATATGAATGTCTTTCCAGTAGATGAAAACATAATTATCATAAATATATTACATTGATGTTATAATAATATACTTGGCAGCTTTGTGAATATGAAATTGTAACTCTAGACACATGTTACCTAACCAACAAGAATCAGACACCATGTTTGCAACACCATAGTATTCG